CCCACACCCACACCCTCATTAGTCGTTTTTGTCTACTCAACTATGGAAACTTTTGCTCTCTAGATGGGTTTTTTCCTTACATTATCTAATTTCTTATCAGGTCTATTTATTTTATGAATAGCTTGTGGTTATCATATACAATCTTCTCTCGCGCTGTCCTTGGTTGAGAGAAACTTTCTTTTTACCTTCGTCTTATCTTCTTTTCAAAAATCTCACAGAATATTAATTTTTTTTTATATAGATTAATATTTTATTTATATATTGTTTAATATAAAGATTATTAACGACAAATTAACGTATCCAATGGAGCAGGCAATGAAGACTGTTTGTTCGGAATTCGTTGCTGACAAATGGAGTGCAAATAAATGCCAAGAATGTTTTCAAAAGAGAGAAGATCATGAAAATGAGTCACCTACAGCTTCAGACGATCGTCAAGTAGCTACCAACACAAGATCATCATCTGTTTCTCAAGAAGCAACCCATCACCCTTCATCTAACCATACAAAAGCTAATGGTCATTTATTTTTGGCGGCTGTTCAAGAAGGTAAGTTTGAAAAACCGTTAAAAACATAACGAGATCAATCTTTATAATTAATTTGACAGTTTAAATTGCATGAACTTTTGTGATGCAATGCGCCTTTCGTAGAAACACTGTCTGAATCTGTTCAGCATCTAGACGCCGATGTGATAAGTCACGAATAAGAATAAGCAGCCATGACCGTTTTCGACCTTGCTGAATGGTCTCATCAGATGGATTTATTCAATTCATCATCATCATAAGATGACAACGAAACTGCAATCAACCCCTAGAATAGAAGAGATACAGTATTAAAAGGGTATTAGTAATTAACGCGAACACCACAAACACCCAAGTTTGTAAGATCGCATATAGGTCATCCTTACGAACACTCACACTTCGGCGAGTTATGTTCACAAACACCCACGAACACCCACTTTGTACGAGTAATAGAAGATAAAAACGCTCAGCAAAGGCGTAAAAACGACCCCCCCCCCCTTGACACTAACACCCAGAATCTCTCTCATATTCCTTACAAATACCCCAACTTATCCTTACGAACACCCACAGAACTCCATAACCTATATTCTGACACGAATATGTGCCATCCAAAAATAACTTGTCCTAATAAACTTTTCTCTGCAAACATATGAGACCAGTCTAAATATGGTTATGTATCCATACGAACACACAAAAGGCTCGTAATAATAAGTCAATAACATCCAACTTGTCCTTACGAACACCCACAGAAACATTCGATCTACTCATTTATATATGATTCAAATACTTTCATAACTATAATAATCTCAAACATACCTCAAAATATGAGAATAAAAGCCTAAAAATAAGCAAGAATGTATAAAAATAAAAAAAACACGAAAAACACCTAGTAATATATGGCTGAATTAAATAAATAGATAAATGGACCCATCATGTACACAGCAACATCATGAGAAAGCTATAATTCAATCTCTGACATAAAGTTCGAAATACTTTCTTAAGTATTTTATTGAGAAAACGCTTGAAAATGATGACAAAACACCTAAAAATAGCACTAAAATATGACAAAAATTATATCAACATCCAAAAAGTAGGGTGTGGGTGTAGGTGTGGGTGTGGGCGTGGGTAGAAGTCTTCTTTTAGCCATAGTCACACTCACACCCACACCCTAAGTACAAAAGCAGGAGAGCAAAAATAGCTGACTGGATGAAAGCTGAATATTGAACACAATGCATGCAAGTATACCTGTGATACGACAAACTCATTTTATTTCATATGACCCTCCATTCATTCCAGGCAAGAAATCATTATTTTCTTAAAAAAGGCCTACTAAACCTTAAAAAAACCATTTCAAAAATTTTTGAATAAGCATGTTACCTTTGACCATGTTTTTTTTACCCCTGATCTTGTCTAAGCCGATTCTTTTGAGCTTTGGCCCTGGCTAAGCCGATGTTTTTTGACCTTTGACCCCGACAAACGCATTTTAGTTTTTTTCATATGACCTCCCCTTCAGTCAAGGGAACAAATCTCCAAGAATCTCATTTTAACAAAGACTAGTTTGCGAAAGAACAATGGCAAACAAGCAAATTATGGTCAGCTACTGTTTTTGCGTCTTGCTGATATAACTTTAACGTCTCACAAAGCTGTGAAACTTATCTATCGTTTAAAAATTTGTTTATTCTTGTCTTGAATCATATGAATTAAAACGTAAGATTCTTACGAGTTAACTTCATATATATCCCGGAAAAAAGAAACTCCACTCAGTATTTTAACGAAATCTTTTCTATAATAAGATATTTTTTAACAAATAATGATATATTCTGAAAGCTCGTGGAATTTTCTATTACGCTCTATAATTACAAATGCATTTGCAGTAATATGCTAAAAAAATGTGGATGCAATGAAGACACCTTCGTCCCCAGATTCCCACA